GGTAAAAAATAATGACATCTTGAATTTTGCATGCAAATGGATGGACAAGAATATATTCTTAAATCAGTGTTTTTGTCAATATATTTTAAAATTTTGAAATTACAAAAGGAGTCCCTGTTCCTGTGCTGAGGAGATCCATTCAGATGGTTGAGTGTGTGCCCACCCATCCCAGGTGGTCCAGGAATTGAACACAGGGTCTCTCCAGCTCCTGCTGCAGGGGCTTCTTTGTTCCACATGACCCTGCCTCCCCCAAGCATGCCCTATTGTATGTGAGGTCCTTGGCCCAAGAACAGTTCCTGATCCTGCACTGAGGCAATCCACCCAGAGTGGTGAGTGTGTGTCAGCTCAGTTGGAAGATCCCCAGAAGGGAGTGCAGGGCACCTCCAGCTCCTGCTGCAGGGGCTTCTTTGTTCCACATGACCCTGCACTCCCAAGTCTGCCATTTTGTCTGCGGGGTGCTTGGCCCAATAAGAGTCCCTGTTCCTGTACTGAGGAGATCCATCGAAATGGCTAATGTGGGCCCACCCAGAAGGTCACTGGAAGGGAGTGCAGGGTACCTCCAGCTCCTGCTGCATGGGCTCCTTTGTTCCACATGATCCGGCAGAGAAATATAGAAATAACTGATGTAGTGAACCAAATGGACTTAATAGAAATCTATAAAACATTCCACTAAAACAAAAAAGAAAAAGAATATACCTTCTTCTCAGCATCTCATAGAACCTTCTCAAAAATTGATCACATAATCAGTAACAAAGCAAACATCCACAGATACAAAAAAAATTGTAGTAACCAACTGTGTACTATCGGATCAATATGGAATAAAGTTAGAATTCAACAACAATTCAACCCCCAGAAAGTCTACAAACTCATCGAAACTGAAAAGTCAATTAGTGAACTACCCCTGGATCAAGGAAGAAATAAAGAAAGAAATTAAAATCTTCCATGATTTCAACAAAAATAAAGACACAACCTATATACCCAAACCTATAGAACACTATGAAGGCAGCGCTAAGAGGAAAATTCATAGCACTAAGTGCCCAATTAAAGAAAACGGAGAAAGAACACATTAGAGACTTAACAGAACACCTGAAAGCTCTAGAAAAAAAAGAAGCAGACTCACCAAGGAAGGGTAGAAAATTGGAAATAATTAAACTGAGGGCTGAAATCAACAAAATCGAAACAGAGAAAACAATCCAAAAAATAAATGAAACAAAAAGCTGGTTCTTGGAGAAAATTAACAAGATTGACAAACCCATTTCCAAACTAATCAAAGGGCAGAGAAAGAACACACAAATTAAAAAGATCAGAAATGAAAAGGGAGAAATAACTACAGACATAAAGGAAATTCAGAGAATCATTAGATCTTACTAAAAAAGCCTGTATGCCACAAAATTGGAAAATATAAAAGAAATGGACATTTTTTAGATAAATACCATACACCAAAATTTAATCAAGACCAGGTGAACAATTTAAATAAACCTGTAAGTCGCGAGGAATTAGAAGCTGTCATCAAAAACCTCCCTACCAAAAAAGCCCAGGATCAGATGGTGTCAATGCAGAATTCTACCAGTACTTCCAAGAAGAGCTAATACTTATAATCCTTAATGTATTTCACAAAATAGAAACAAAAGAGTCATTGCCAAAGTCCATTTTTGAAGCTACAGTTACCCTGATACCAAAACCACAAAAAGACTCAAACAAGAAAGAGAATTACAGGCCAATCTCACTCATGAACATCGATGCAAAAATTCTCAGTAAAATATTGACAAACGAAATCCAAGAACACATCAAATAAGTTATCCATTATGATCAAGTAGGCTTCATCCCAGAGATGCCGGGCTGGTTCAACATAAGAAAATCTATAAATGTAATTCATCACAGAAATAAACTGAAAGAAAAAAAACCATTTGATCATTTCATTAGATGCTGAAAAAGCATTTGACAAAATTCAACACCCCTTCATGATAAAGGTCTTGGAGATAATAAGGATACAAGGTATATACCTAAATATGTTAGCATTTAGCAAGCCAACAGCTAACTTTAATGTAAATGGAGAGAAACTCAAAACCTTTCCACTAAAATCAGGAACAAGATAAGGCTGTCCACCCTCTCCATACCTCTTCAATATAGTGCTTTAAGTTCTAGCAAGAGCAATAAGACAACATAAGGGGATCAAGGGCATTCAAACTGGAAAGGAAGAAATTAAACTTTCATTATTTGCAGATGATATAATAGTGTACATAAGCGACCCCAAAAATTCTACCATAGAGCTCTTACAGCTGATAAGCACCTGCAGTAATGTGGCAGGAAACAAGATCAACTCCAAAAAATCAGTTGTCCTCCTATACACAAAGGATAAAGAAGCAGGGAGGGAAATCAGAGAAGCATCACCTTTCATGATAGCCACAAATAGCATAAAGTATCCTGGGGTAACTCTAACCAAGGAGTGAAAGATCTATTTGACAAGAAATTTAAGTCTTTGAAGAAAGAAATTGAAGAGGATACCAGAAAATGGAAGGATCTCCCAGGTTCTTGGATAGGGAGGATTAACATAGTAAAAATGGCAATTCTACCAAAAGCAATCTATAGATTCAATGCAATCCTAGTGAAATCCTAACAAAATTCTTCACAGACCCTGAGAGAATAATAATCAACTTTATATGGAAAAACAAAACAAAAAAAAACAGGATAGTCAAAACAATCCTTTACAATTAAAGTACTTCTGGAGGCATTACCATCCCTGACTTCAAACTCTATTACAAAGCTACAGTAATGAAAACATCTTGGTATTGACATAAGAACCGAGATGTTGACCAATGGAATCAGCAGTAAAAGACAATGACATCTTGAA